CCCCAAAACCCCAAAACCCCAAAACCCCAAAACCCCATATATTTTATATTTTAATTATGAAAAGTACAAACAAAGCAAAAATTCAAAAAGACTTCATCAACCAGGAGACCTCTCAAAAAGTAATTTCCTTACATATCTCTAGGTCAAAAAGTTCAGGATTGTAGACATTGGTTTGTGCTTTGAGTAACTTTATAGCAAATGAGGAATCCAAGCAAAAGAAGCCTCAAACTGCTCCATTCCAATAAAACCTAACTCAGAAGGTAAGTTTTCATTGAAATTTTTAGGTGATCAAGACTAAATTTCCTGACCTGATTTATCAAAGTACTGACTTGTTAACCCTTCAGAACAAGTCATGAACCTAAATACTCAAAATTTGTACTACATAAACAATTCAAACAGGATCCAACCTGTGTACAGTTTTGATACACAAAAGTACAAAAATACTCAAGCGTCTGATCAACAAGTACTGTCACAGACTAACCTATCTAGAGATTCAGGATGATGTCAAAGAATTAGCCAGTTAGATGTAAAACAGATTGACCGTATCGGGCGTATAAACATCCGAAAAGTACTCATTAACTTATTTCTAGGAGTCAATTATACCAGCAAGTAACCTTCCAAGTAAATAATTCTCTTCACTCTTCTCTAAGTTCCTGCGATAAAACTCAATATGCCAAATACGTTGTATGAATTGACGAAGAAAGAGATAGCCCATCTGAAATCCCTCGAAGAGCAATGGAGCGGTAGGTTTCCACTCATCCTCAGGCCAATACGAGAAGTACAAAGTTAAATAAAATCCACAATATTTATGACATCATGAAGTAACCTTGTTGTGGAATTCTAGACCCTTGCATCCCGATTCTATCCAAGCTAACAAGATCGAAGAGAGTGAAAGTAGATCTTTATGATTGAGGCTTTAGAACTAAAACCTGAAGTTCAAGATCCCAATGACTTCTCACAGATTCTGGTAAGCCATCAACTATGTTTCAGAGTGAGATCAAAACCCCAAGGCATGATAAACATCAAAGAGATATACAAAACTTCAAGGACTTCATCGAAAGTGAAGGTATGTGCTATTCTGAGTTGGTACTTATCATTTGGTAGACCCTGATGGTAATTTTGATCTAATATGCACCTAGACTTCTCGAAAAGTAGCGTGACAAGTCCCATATTATACACACCAAGCAGACTAAGTGATATAGGTAAACAGATTTTTAATATTTTAGGCAAAGGTTACCCAAAAATAAATTACAGTAGAGATATATCCTCACCTTCGCTCTCAGAAGCGAGTATTTCATCATTTTCGAGCGAGGAAACTCAAAAACTGCATCAATTCTTACACTATGAAGCTCCTAAAAAGGAACCACAGATTGCCAAATCTGTAAAATTTGCTTTAACTTTATAGAAAAGCACGATAAAACAGACAGAGAGTATCATTGAAGCGTAAAAAACATTTTTAAATTTAGGAAACCAAACACTAGAGTTACATCGAACCAAAACGTCCTCAAATTTAATCAAATTGTTCAGGCTATTACAGATCACAAACCAGTCAATATCTCTAAAAATATACAGAATCCAGTAGACTTCCAGCCGTTAAAGAGAGGGAAGAGTACATTCCACAAGGAAGTCAGCAAGACCAAGCTCAATTCTGACCTTGATTTTGACTTCCAAAAAGCAGTTCCTCAGAGACTAGAGTAATAACATTCCTAACTTCAATAGAGACAAGAGTAAATAAAATCTCGAGGTTTCTGTCACCAGAGCCTATACTCTCTGAAAAAGAGATATCGAGCCTTACTGTATACCCTAAAAGTAATCTCTAGCGGACAAGGTTTCTTCCTGCTCCAAACAGCTTAATTAAAGCACCTCAGAATATTCCTCAAGAAGTGGCTCAAGTTGTTCAAAAAGTCCCAGTCAGGACTACCAAGAGAACAAGAGCTAGCTTACTCAAGAGTACTCGCTTGTACAACTTTATAGGAATCATTGATGATAAAAGCTTCGTAAAAGTGAAGTCTAACTCTCCAAAATTCAGAATGGCTGCTAGAATCAAACATGAGCTACAAAAGACCCAGAACAAAGAGATCAGGTCTCTTGATCATAACCGCACGCTTAATATTTTTCAACGCAACCAGTCGAAGCATCAGAGGATTCGTGGTAAATTTAGGTGACAATTCTGTAGAGATCGAGCTGAAACGACATCAGATAACTACAATGAAGTTTAGAAGGTAATACATCAAGGTTTAAACATTCTTTAGAAGAATTAACAGACAAAATAGGGAGCTAAACAAACAAGACTTCCACAAAGGAATTAAAGGTATCTTTTCTTACTCACCAACTAGCTGCCTTACCTATAAAATCTTTTAAGATAAACTTCGATCAGAGCAGGTCTGGACTCCCAAGTTTCAGGAGCCAGAACTCCCCCCGTCTCATGCCTCTCACACTGATCTAACCCATCTCCGGCCAAAACTACTCCCAAAAATACGAAAAATCAACTGTAAATTTTTTAAAAATTTCAATTTTCTCTAAGAATCAAGGGGTTTTGGGGTTTTGGGGTTTTGGGGTTTTGGGG